CTGCTGAACTTAAAATTAAAAATAAAATTGGATAAAGGGTCCATCCTCAAGACAAACTGAGGTCATCGTTCCTAGGCATCAGTATTTTTAAAAATACTGATTCTGAAGTGAAGCCAAAATTGAGAGCTTCTGCTTTAGATGATCAATGGAGACTTTGGGATACAATTATAAAATTGAAAAGAAATGGCAAAAAAAAAAAAATTAACTATCTTAGAATGATAGGATGATCTATTTTTCTAGTTATAATTCATTATTTTAATGAAAATTAAAATAAATGATTGGAAACTGCCAAGCAATTGGAATAACATTTTTCACTAAGTCTTATCAGAACAACCCTAACAAAAAAACCTTATTGCTAACTTAGTTCCATGTGCCCTTAAATATCTCAGCTCCTCTTTCTTCTGTTTTATGCTGCATTGATAGTGTATTTTTCATTATATCATTACACTTATATAGAAATTGCTACATATATTTCTTTTAGAATTATATGTTAGCAAATGCTGTATTTCCTATAAAGAACCATATTCTTTGTCTTTTCCTTTAATTATATCTGTAACTAGTCATAGTTCTAAATTTTATCTGATGTGGAAGTCAGTACCAAAATCAGTAACTATGTTCGTCTGTTATGGCCTATAATATTGTAGTCTTTCAGTTCTCAATCCTCATTTTCCATTTTTATCATATATGCTTTAGTTATAAGCTGCTCCAAGCACTTTGTACAAGGAGGCAGGCTGTAAGCAATAATTTCCATTATAACTAGGAATGCTGAAAAGTTTTAGATAATATGAAAAAGCCTATAAACCTAATACTAGAATTTAGTGCTTGGAAAATAGGAAGCATTTTTAGGTGGAAATTCCGAGAAAACTAAAATTCAAGGTTTTTTATTTTGTTTATGCAGAGATAGACATATACGTATATATATATATTTAGTGTAAATTTATATAGAGGGAGAAAAGATAAATTAGTAGAGAGATATGCTAAAGTTTATTTCCAAATCCCCAGAGTAGTCAAAACAATCAGAATGACTTCAGAAATTGTATCACTAACCAGAAATTAGTGTGCACCACCAAATAAGTCAATTTCTAAACGCCAGAAGTCAGCCACTACCAGGTCATCAGAAACTATGCTGATTGGAATTTTCTCAAAAGTCCTTGCTCCTTAGACTATCAGCAGATGCTACAGTACTCTCTGTCTTTATAGTCACCTACTCATTCACTCAATTAGTCAATAAATAGGCACATTCTAGGCATTAAGGACAATGCGGTGGGCAAAACAGTCATGGTCTTGCCTCCCAAAAGCTTATAGTTCACTGTCCAACACACTATCTGTTACATAGCACATGTTGCATGCATCTTAACTTAGCTAAATTAAAAAGTAGAATTCCTCTGAAAATTCTTAGCATATTTATTTCTAAAATAAGGATAATGACTTTGCATTGGCAGATAACAAATTTTTTCTCTATCATAATAGGTATGAGTAAAAGTCACAAAATAAAGGGGTGAGGAAATTGACTTTGTGACTAACAATGATTGGTATCAACAAGTAAAGTGAAAATATGATGTCAACTGCCTAATAATCATAAAATATACTGTTTATCATTCTCATAAGCCGAGAAAATCAGAGACTTTGCTAAAACCTGGACCTCCTAAAAACAATAGTTTAAAATTGAGACGTATATTTATTACAGTCTAAACTACATAACCAAATTCCCTACAATTCTTAAGAGATTCCTGCCACAAAATAACTTTTTTACTAGAAGTGAAAGTATTTCTTCTTCTCAGAGCCATCTTCATGAACTCTCAGGCCAAGTTCGATGCCAGCATTTTCCTCAGCTAGTGGCTGCTTCTATATTTGCTTCAGTAAAAAGGATAGGGCTGGCAAGCTTTAGGAAAAATGCAAACCCACAAAATTATGTAAGATGTCAGAGTCTAAGTATACAAGGCAACTCTGTTACGAAAGCTGTGTGAATATGCAAGCACATAGCTTTTGAATGGCATCAGCACTGTGTGGTATGAATCTGATTTCTTCCAGGACTTCTTGGAAGAGCTGAAGCTGGTGATGAGAGGTTCGCTGTTACAGGTGGCCAGCCTGCAAGACTGCTTCCTGCAGCAGAGTGAGCCACTGGCCACCACAAGCACAGGTGTGGGCTCTGGGCAGTTTGCAAACTTTGATCAATACAGACAAATCCTCAGGCCCCTAATGGGCTGGGTCCCATCATGGAAAGGTGGGCTGTCAGCAGGGTGGTCTTATAAAATGTGTCAACAGAAATCAGTCTGTTGTGCCAAAGTCCAGGGCAAGGAATATTTTCATTACTCGTTTCTATTTTTATAAGTCATATGAATTTGAACTAGCCAGTGGCATCATTATCATTATCACGTTTTAGGTGAATTAAATGAATTATACCAAGTTAGATTCCTATACCCTAGGTTTTTGTCGTAATTATTCTCTGGGAAATCATTTGTTTTTGAGTTACCATAGAAATGGCTGTCACTGGATGAACGCTCCTTATCTTTTGCTGTTGCTGCAGGAGACTTTAATCGGCAATTCTTGGGGCAAATGACACAACTAAACCAGCTACTGGGAGAGGTGAAGGATCTTCTGAGACAGCAGGTAACAACCAGGACGTACCATCAGAAAAGCCCCAGTCTTATCAGAGACTGCGAGCTAGTGGAGTGGCAGGCCTGTGAAGTCACCGGGGCGGACCTGCTGCCAGACCTCAGGTGGCCCAAAGCAGCCCACCACCCTGGGACTCTGCTAGAAAGACTCCGGAAATGAGGGACAAGCATGTGATAAACATATCATGGCTCCAAGCAGAGCGGGAACCGTCAAGGGTTACTTTAGATCTGCTTTAAGTAGTGTTTCATAGCTTGCTGCACATGGGTTCTTTTATTCCTGGATTATGTATCAGGTACTCCTTTTCAATTTTTTTTTTTCTTTTCCTTTTTCTAAAGGTTAAAGAAACAACATTTTTGCGAAACACGGTAGCCGAATGCCAGGCTTGTGGTAAGTGCTTTTCTAGTAACTGGCTCATTCTGAGGTGGACAAGCAGACTGAAGAAGGGCCTGGGCAATGGTGGCTGCAGTTTCTGGTGGGTTGGCACAGAGATAGAGGGAAGAGAAGTTCATTGAAAAAATAAATTTCATTTTGTATCAGGTATGTCTTCCTGGTGGTAAAAAAAAGTCTATGAGGTATTGTTTTTCCTCTAGGTCCTCTCAGTTTTCAGTCTCCAACCCCAAACACACTGGTGCCTCTGACACGCCCTGCACCCCCGGCACCCCCAGCACCCCCAGTGCGCCAGTGTGACTCCAACCCGTGTTTCCGTGGAGTCCGATGTACCAACACCAGAGATGGCTTTCAGTGTGGGCCCTGCCCCGAGGGCTACACAGGAAATGGGATCACCTGTTCTGATGTTGATGAGGTAAAAGTTCAGCCCGACAGGGTAGAGGCTCCCCAGGTATCGTGCACACCCTCTAGCTTATGGGAAAAAAAGCCGTGCTGATGACCGAGAAATGACCTGGGTTGTCCTTTAGGCTACTTAAAAACTACTTCCTCATGAGCCCTTAGAGACCATGGAACACCATGAGCAGCAGGAGGAAGGAGGCATGACACACAGTTGTAGTCATGTTCATGATATTGCCACTGTGTTTCCAGCTCTTCTGCTCGTCCATGTTGATACAATGCTGAGATTTCGGCTTTATACTCTAACATTGATTATTTATCTTAAGCAGTCTGTTATAATTTTGATTATCCACACTTTCATAAATGTGGGAGGGGTTAGATCTGTGTACAGATATATTCCAGAAGTTGCGACTGATTTCTTCGGGCTTCCTAAAATAGAGCAGAAGGGAATTTCAAACCAATAAGATCTGTTGAGAAGGTCCCATAATTTGTAACCAAAAGTGCCCAGGGATGGCTCCAGAAAGACACATATGGCCAACAGAGGCTGGTTGGCTGGCCACCAAAGTCCCTGAAGTAGACTGTTTCAAGACCATCACTAGCCAGTCACTTGTCCAGTCCCAAAGTACTGTCCACAGTAGGTAGTGAGGCTGCCATCAGAATGCGACTTTCCCTTCCCTCTCGGCCAGAGGAAGGCCAGAAGGAGAAATGGAGGAGACAAAGTACATGCAAAGACAGACAGACAGACAGACAGACAGACACACACACAGACACACAGACACACAGACACGCACACGCACACGCACACGCAAGCATGCAGCTCCTGCAGGTTTGTGGTAGCACTCCACTGATTACCTCCCCAGATAGTAAGCAATTAAGATGTCTCTAGTAATCCCTCAATTGCAGAAACATTTCACAGAACTGCATCTGGTTTTTATCTGTGCATTTTATCCTGTCCTTTTGAAAGGGCAGGAAGTGGTCATGTTTTTTATGTTAATCGAAGAGCAAGCAAGCATGCAGCTCCTGCAGGTTTGTGGTAGCACTCCACTGATTACCTCCCCAGATAGTAAGCAATTAAGATGTCTCTAGTAATCCCTCAATTGCAGAAACATTTCACAGAACTGCATCTGGTTTTTATCTGTGCATTTTATCCTGTCCTTTTGAAAGGGCAGGAAGTGGTCATGTTTTTTATGTTAATCGAAGTGGTAAAAAAAAAATCAGAACCAATCTGCTAGACTCCGAGAGCCTTGGAACTGCCATGGACTTGATAGGGTGCAAAGGCAGGCACAGACCCTGATGGATCACCGCTTACTGGCCTTGCTTTGTCTTCTCAAGGTTTTTTCTTTAGTTGGTTCAAAAATGCCTTTGGACTCAATAGCCAGCAGACAAGTGGTCCAGGAGCACCATCCTTTTATAGAAATTTCTACATTCTAAATTAGACTATCAAAGAATTTATACTGGGAGATAGAATGATGAACATTTAGGACCCTTTTCAGGTGGCTGTGTCATTATTCTGTAATATAGCAAAGCAACCCCAGATTGTGTGGGCCGGGGTTTCCTACGGTAACTATGAAATTGGAAGCCTTTATTTCCTTTTAGCATTGTTGACCACCAAAAAATGAACAGGTAAATGAATAAACAAGCATGTGCAGATAAATTGGAAGTTCGAGAGTGTTTACTCCACATGACTAAATTTTTTTTTTCTCCAGTGCAAATACCACCCCTGCTACCCGGGCGTGCGCTGTGTGAACTTGGCTCCCGGCTTCAGATGTGATGCCTGCCCAGTGGGTTTCACAGGGCCCATAGTGCAGGGTGTTGGGGTCAGTTTTGCCAAGTCAAACAAGCAGGTGGGTTGAAGTTATGATCTTTCTATTCATTTGTTACCTTAATTACCAAAAGAAAAACTTTGGTTGGTTCCAACCTCATCATTATAACCCTTTCTCTCCTTGAGCAGCTAATATTATGTGGAATGTTATGGAGCCAGGGAGCAAATCAGGAAATTTTTCATCTCATTTCTGAGTATATATGTTGGTAAAGTTTAGTACGGAAGAAGCTATTAAATTGGGACAATAGACTATCACTAGAAAAACAGTGAATGAGGTAATATTGCATATGTGGTATGATTTCAGGCTTATTTTGTTGGTAGCCGTTGAAAATTTTGTCCTGAAGAATAACTTGAGAATCAAAGAAACAAAAGTTTGAAAAATTAGGTCATTTTTATAGTCATTGTGCTGATCAGAAGCTGTTTTAGAGATGAGAGGATTTCAAGAGTAGAAATGATCCCCAGAGGAAACCCTCCTTCTTCTTATATAAGCTATAAATTGCCATAAAGCTCTTGAGCACTTTGTGACAGTCTCCATTTATTTCCAAACATTCTACTATGTCCTGGTCATTATTTAACTGACTGACTGTGAAATTCTTTTTGATGTTTTCAGCCCTTAAAAATGGTTAGTCTATAAATATATTTTACTACCTTAGGGAAATTATTAGTTTTGAAGAAGGGCAGAGTTCATTATTTTCTAGCTGCCTATCAAAGGATTCTAGAGGGCATCATTTTTTAAACTAGAAAAAGAAGGCAAGCTAGACAGACAGGAATGACAAAAAGCCATTAGAATGATGAGGACCCAAAATGTTTTTTCCCTCTCCTCTAAAAACGAAATCTCTAAGACTAAATCAAGGAAAACAGACAAAATGAAATAGAAGGTGCTTTATGTAAGCTTTTAAGGAGCACTTCCCAGTGGATTTCCAGGAATATGGCAGACTGAACTGAAGCAGAAGGGAGTCACCTTGATAAAATTTAACAGATTTTAATGCATCATCTATATCAAAAGAAATAAAATGAAATGTGTAGGTTCTGGAAACAAAGAAGGAACTCAGAACCAGAGCTTCGGCTGGAAGCTGATGCCACCGCAGCTCATGGGAGGTGGGAGCTAGGTCCTAAGGGTGGGGTGCACCTCAGTTGGGTAGTCTTGGACCTTTAGAAAGATCGAACTCCCTTGCATAATGCCAGGAGCCTCAAAGAGCTACTTTACCCATTGCAAGGAGATAAGAAAACTTTACTAGCCCCCAAAATCAATAAAAAAGCTTAATGTCTATTTGAGATAGGGTTAACAAAAATGAAAATTGCCTAAACAAATCAAAGCTCCAAGCTTATATCACATACAGTTGTGGGCTCGAAATCTGTGTTACACATATAATGCAGAAACACAAGCCAAAAGTTAACCTAAGAACCAGCTCCAGAGCAATAAAATCTCCAGGGCCCTGACTAACGTCAAAACCATATCATTTTGGGAAGAGACTCTAAACTCAGGGCCAGAGGCAAAGGCAGGGGCACTAAGGACATGCTTATAAACAAAAATGGCAATTTATATGACACAATCCCCAAAAGGAAACATAAAATAAGGTCAAAAACAAAGAGAAAAAGGAAGGAGTAGATACCATAATTAAAGAATAGAGCAATTGGGGGAGGCAAGTTTGAAAAATAACCAAGTAAAATTTATTCAATGAAAAATATAATCATTGACATTAGAAAGTCAATAGATGGGCAAGACAGCTAACGGAATTTATATATTGGAAAGGAAATCATCCAGAATGCAGAACAGAAAAATAGAGGGAAAATATGAATGAGAGGTTAAGAGTCAAAAGGAGAGATTAAGGAGAAAGTCTAATAGATGTTTAATTGTAGTTCCAAAGGAAGAGTAGAAAGAATAGGAGAAGAGGGAAGCTGAGAATTTTCCAGAATTACAGAAAGATAGGAATTCTCAGATAGAAGTAGTACATTGAGTCCAAAGCAGGTTAAAGAAGAACCTTCTTGACTAAAAAGGTTGTGGAACAGATGAATCCTACCCATTGTCTTTAAATAGCAAGTAAGAAACTATCACTTGAAATTAAGCACAAACTGGTACAAGCACAGGGAAATGGCTAACATGATGCCCTGATTACCATTCCACCTGAAATTCCGTGTCTTCATATGACAATGTCAAAACAAAGCCAAATTTATTTGCATTTCTACTTACACTATCTCTTTAAACCTTTCTGCACTAGATCTGCACTGATATTGATGAGTGTCGAAATGGAGCCTGCGTTCTCAATTCTATCTGCGTTAACACCTTGGTGAGTATTTTTTATGGCTGATGTTATCAAAGCAGATGTCATTAAACCAAGTGTACGTTTATAAATCATAACCCCAAAACACACACAGAACACATGGGCATAATTTATTTGATTGACAAATGAGAATAAAAGTTTGTGCTGAAAAACAGTTTTTAATATGAGTAACTTTATAAGTAATTTTTTATATAAAAATAATTTTATAACTGCCAAACTTATTTTTTTTATCTTCTATCAGTGTTGCAATGTTGGCCTTTTAGATAAATATTTATTGACTAAAATATTGTTGTATTTTAAAAGTATGAAGAGCTTCTTAGTTTATATTACTAGTTCAATATTCCAGAATATGACTTTTATTGGCAATGACACAATCCCCAAACGATATTCATTATTTCCTAAACTTTTCAAAAGTCATTTGCATTCAGTGAAAATGCTTTGTACTTAAGGGATCTAAAATTTAAATATTCAGATATGGGTTTTATTTTCTGAAGGTTTCTGTCAACTGTTTCCAAGACCATAGGTGAAGACTGTCAACAAAAGAACTGCTGATTCCATGCATGACTGCTTCTAATGTACTATATGACACTGGGAAAGTTATTTAATCTCTAGGTTCCTAGTTTCCTTGTATGTAAAAGCACTTTAATAAATATCAGGTCCCTTATTTTAACCCTCAAAACCCTGTCAATAGGCACATTTATCATCCCCATTTTACAGTTGAAGAAACTGAGGCACAGAAAGGTTACATAATTAGGCTGAGGCCACACGTGTCATAAGACTCCAAGTCTGGCTGCAGAGCCTGTGTTCTTATCCACATGCTATACTGCCTAGGAATACACGGCGATTTATTCCTTCTTAGCTTTTTACCAGGACACAGCCAGTCTACACAAAGAGAATTGGGAGACATTGACATAAAGTAATAACTAAAGCCATCCAGGGAGAAGAAAAGTACACAGTGAGATTCTAGAAAGCAGAACTCCAGAAAAGCTAAAAAATAAAGAAATAGGCAAAGAAAAGAGAACAGAAGCTACAAAAAGGAGAGAACTGGCCAGATGGAGTAGTCCAATGAGGCTGACAGATCAAGAAAGATCAAAAAGCAGCCTTTGAATTTGGCGATTCAGGGTTATTAGTGACCAAAATCATTGAGTTGTGTAGCTTATGTGGGTCTCTTTCATAATATCTTTCATAATTTTATCTCAGTATAGATGGTTTAAAAAAAAAAAAAAAAAGCCATGCCTGGCCCTGGAAGTGCCAGTGCAATGGGGCCGACCGCTCATTTGGCAGGTTTCTTCCATAGCGGCCTACCTCATGAAGAGTTCTCAATGCAAGGCCACTGACAGTTCTCTGAAGCCTGTTCTTTTATCACTCAATTATGAAAAAGCCAAAGGAATCGTTTTAAAAACTTCTAACTTGCATTTTAATCAAACCATCTCCCTTGTCCCCAGAGTAAGGACTTGATGGAAACTTTCAGCTCTTTCCCATTTTGCTCTCCTCAGTGGAGCTGGCAAGTGAAAATAATGGTTCACCATCTAACCTTCTGCCTTCAGGTCTTCCATTCATGCCTACATGGCCTGCTGCAACTTCCAATCTTGTGCTGTCTTCCCCAGTATTCACAAGATCTTATAAGACATACTCCTAAGCAGAGGCAGGCATGGGTCTCACTTAATCCTAGCATCATCGAGTACGTATAAAAGTAAATACAGTCGCAGTAGCTTTGCTCACAGTTCTGAGTCCTTGGCTCCTGTCTTGTCTTTGCTCCTTGCAGGGATCTTATCGCTGTGGGCCTTGTAAACCCGGGTACACTGGTGATCAGACAAGGGGATGCAAAACTGAAAGAAACTGCAGAAATCCAGAACTGAATCCTTGCAGTGTGAACGCACAGTGCATAGAAGAGAGGCAGGGGGATGTGACGTGCGTGGTAAGTTGTTACTTGCTTTATCATTTTTCCTCTTCCATTTTAAACAGCATCTCTCTCTGGTTTCTACTTACTTCAGGGTAAAAGTAACCAAAAATTAAAACATTTTGATCAGGATAAACACAGTATGTAATAGTAAGAGGGTCAGCTGGGTATGAGGGCAGCAGTCAGAAGTTCATCTAACTGTCAGCTGCCTCTTCTCTCCTTATTGGCCATGGGTCAACACTGTCCCCTTGGGCAGCTTAGTGGTAGAGCCTCAGCTCCCAAGCATCCTCTGTGGAAGGCCTGAGAAGTGAGCAGCATTAGCTACTCATTTGTGTAATTTGTTAGCATACTGCTGTCATTTCTAACTGTCCAGTTTCAAAATCTAGCCTAATATCCCAGGGGGTGGGTCACAGTGGAAAAGTGGTGGGTTGCTGTAAACCCTCAGAGAGAAACCTCCTGTCTCCCAGAGGTGAGTAGGAGGGGGTGGATGGCACCATTCTCTGTATCCACTTTCACCCAGATTCAGGAATAGCCCAGTGGATGGTCACTCTTCCTGTGCATTTCTCAGCCCTGGAGCTGATCTGGGGAGGAGGAGGCTGGGAAGAGAACACAGCAGTCATGGCCTGATGTAAGCCTCATGCCAGACGGGGGTGTCATGGGCCCTTGGTGAGGAGGAAGGCTTGTTTCTGCCATCCACTCCCAAATCTCAGGCTCCAGAGTCCTTGGCGATTCTAGGCACTGATAGATAAGTCAGCCATTTCCAGCTGCTTACCTCCTCCTTCCTTCCCAGCGAGCCAGGCCCTTGCAGGCAGCCCTCAGAGTCTGAGAGTCACAGGTTCATGGCAAGCATGTCCGAGTGGCAGGATGGATTCTAAGAGACTCTTCCCTCTTCTCTATACCTCAAACTTAGATTTCTTTAAGCTTGCGATTTTTTTCTGCAATGAGCATATCACTTTTCATATAGAAAAAAAATGATAAAAATCAGAAATTAAATAAATGTAATGGCATCAGCTCTCTCAGGCAATACAACGCAGGAATAGGGTGGATGAGAGAGGGAAAAAAACAGTAGTTTCCCTAATTCCTGTTGATCGGGCATGTTTATTACCATTGAGAGGCAAATGTATATATTTAAATCCTCATTTTCTGCGAACAAATTAACGACTTCCCAGGGATGGTGGAAACCAGTACATGTGCAGTCCAAGGGCTCTTAATATGTTTTTGAATTTGTAATAAGGCGCAATGACAGATGGTAAAGGATTAATACACTTGGTGTGACTACTGAAATAATTTAATCAGCCAGAAAATGGCTCATTAAAAATGTATTTGTTCCTAGAGGAAATTTTTTTCTTCATTAAAATGAGTCAAGGACCATACCCCAAAGCTGAGCTTTCCAGGCCTTTTGAAGGTCCTTTTGAAGCCGCTGAGCGGAAGGAGGGGTGTTTGGAATCCTGCCTTCAGGATCTCTGGTTGCAGAAGGAGAGTACAGATGATTGAGAACAGGCCGGCTGCCACTTAGAAAGTCACTGGTCTTAAATCGCCTTATTTTGATGAGTGAGGCCAGGAAATTTAACATTAAATTTAACATTTTCCTATGTAAAGTTTCCTTTTCTCTTCGCCCTCTGTTCCCCACACCCTTTCCCTCTCTCTGTCCTTTTAGTTGCCTGTCATTTTCCAGGTCCCTTCTCCAGTGTTCCTTCTGCCCGCCTCTCCTGCAGGTGCCCATCCTGCTCCTTGGCTGGGTTCCTAGGCTCCATCTCATACCTATCTCTTTCTTTCTGGTTTGTCAGACGTCCTTTAACTAGGCCACCTAAGATCTGGAATATCCAAGGAAGAACTCAGAGCTCACGTTAACCACCTATAAATAGCAAAAGACATCAGACTGGGACAAGCTTGAGTTCAAGTCCCAGCCTGAGACTCTGAGCCTAGTTGATTCTCTTGTGAGATGGGATAACAGTGACCCTGCAGCATCATTGAAACAATTGGAGAAAACAGCTATAGAGTCTGGTATAGAATAACTGGTATTTTAATGACTATTCTGCTGACAGTGAGGCTTGCTGCTTTCAGTGGCTGGTGCTGGTACAGTACTTGGTTAGACTTCTCCAGAGAAGTCTAGACTTCTACAGACCCAGAACTACACCTGTGGGACCCTTCCCCTGTTAAAAGGGTATGAATACAAGTAAAGCACCTTAGAGCAGGGGTCCCCAACCCCCGGGCCACAGACAGGAGGTGAGTGGAAGGCAAGCGAGCGAGTGAAGCTTCATCTGTATTTTCAACTGCTCCCCAGCACTAGCATCACCGCCTCAGCTCCACCTCAGATCATTAGGCATTGGATTCTTATGGGAGCACCTGTCCCTGGTGCTAAAAAGTTTGGAGACCGCTGCTTTAGAGGGTTCTTCCTTTGGTAGAAATTGATCTAGAAGATTGTTAGATTCGGAGATATGACTGTGGTTCAAGAATGATAAGGAAAGTGCCACGGAAGTCGTTCTACCCATTCATGTGTTCATGCATTCATTTCTACCGGGAAAAGAAAGTAAGAGAATCACGGGGAGAACAACGACAACTCCAAATTACAAACACCCTTCGAACTAGGGACTCCACACTGAGAAGCCAGTACATGTGCAGAATGACACATGTACTAGAATTATTTGTTGTAGCATTGTTTGCAATCTAAAAAGATTTTTAAAACCTGACACCCACCTGCAAAGGACTGGCTGAATTAACTGAGGCACATGCATATCATCTTGTGTGTGATATATCTGTGGCCATGAAAAAAAAAGGACATAAATCTCCACAGAGTGATATGGAAAGAGCTCCAAGATACTATTTTTTAAAAAATCCAGGTGCAGAACAGTGTGTATGTGAATGCTACCCATTGTGTTAAAGGACAAAAAGAAAAATGATGTGTATCTGCTTGTCTGTGCATAGCCCGTCTCTGAAACTGCATGAGAGCTGATTCCTCGATCACCTAAGCTAAGGGAACAGGAGTGGGAAGGAGTTCTCACTATATCTTCCTTTGTACCTTTTGAATTTTCAACCCTTAGACTATTCAAAAAACAGTTTTAAAATCATACCCAACAATGCCATCTGGCTCCTGGCCCTCCCTGCGGGGATGCACGCACAAGAGCAGAGGCCCATGTAAGCCACCAGCCTCCCACCAGGCTCAGCTTCCCAAGCCACTAATGGGCTCTCCCCTCACAGTGCGGAGTCGGATGGGCTGGTGATGGCTACATCTGCGGAAAGGATGTGGACATTGACAGTTACCCCGATGAAGAACTGCCGTGCTCTGCCAGGAACTGCAAGAAGGTAAGGAAGGCAAGCTGGAGAACACACACACACACACACACACACACACACACACACTCACTCACTCACTCACTCACTCACTCACTCACTCACTCTCACACTCTCTCTGTGGCTTTCCAAAACCACATCTATATGGGGGAGAGGTTCTGCAGGTTCCATTTAAATTTGCATTTTTAGAGTAGCCGCATCTCAAATGTAGCAAAACAGCCATTAGCAATAAAGCCAGGCAGCCACAGTTGTCTTGAGAGCAAATATAGTTTTTGACTTAAGACAGATGTAGATAGGGGGAAATGGGGAAAACTTGGTAAAAGAGTACAAACTTTCATTTGTAAGTTGAATGAGATCTGAGGAGCTAATGAATAACATGATGACTATAGTGGATAACACTGTATTGTATAATCGAAATTTACTAAGAAAGTAGAATGTAAATGTTCTCAGCAAAAAAAGTAAAGGGTGGTAAATATGTGAGGTGATGATGGACCTATTAATTCACTCAATATGCGGAATCCTTTCACAATATATACATATATCGTATCACATCGTACACTTTAAATATCTTACAATTTCATCAATTATACCTCAATAAAGCTGGAAAAAAAAAAAAAGATAGACGTAAATGTCTCTCTGAGCTGTGTTCCCCCTTAGGACAACTGCAAGTATGTGCCAAATTCTGGCCAAGAAGATGCAGACGGAAATGGCATTGGCGATGCTTGTGATGAGGATGCTGACGGAGACGGCATCCTGAATGAGCAGGTACCTGCTTTGCTAGGCCTATGAGTTGCCACATGCCAGGGATGGTGGAAGAAAGCCTATGAAGTCAACTATTTATATTAATCATCCCAAATGTTAGTTTCCAGGCCTGCGTTCCCTTAGCACTGCAACTTTTTATTCTAAGATTCTCAAATGTTTAAAATATAAAATTGATGAACTTGGGCCTCCTGAGTTCTGACAAATTATGACCATGGTGGGTGGAGGTTGGCCAGCATCTACCACGGTAGGGATGCTGTAAAAGTCTGAGTCAGTGTTCAGTCTTCTGATCCTTTAGGATAACTGTATCCTGACTCACAATGTGGATCAAAGGAACAGTGACAAAGACATCTTCGGGGACGCCTGCGATAATTGCCGGGATGTCCTAAATAATGACCAGAGAGACACTGATGGGGATGGGAAAGGAGACGCCTGTGACGATGACATGGATGGGGATGGTGAGTTTGTCTCACTTTGTCTTATATTATGGACTCCTCTGTCCTTTTTCCCTTGTTCCCTGTTAAGGCCAAGAATAGAATTACTAAGAGGGCCTTCCTGCTCTGGGTGGTTCCACGCAGCCTGCGTCTGGGGGACCCAAGGTCCACTTGTGTCTGCAGAAGGAGACTCCACAGCCCATTCCCCTGCTTAATAACTCTGGGTGTTTCTGGAACTCTACGTCATTGCTAGCAAATTTACAGGACTTACTTCAAGCAGTGGCTTGTCAGGGCTATGTCTTTGCAGGGCATCTGTCTTCCAGATTATACCTTTCCCCACTCCCACCATCCTTTTCATGCACGAGAGTCCTGGAAGTGGAGAATTGAACAAGTGGACCCCGAGTAGGGTCACAGGCTACAGCCCCTGGGTCAGGTTCCTCCTGCAGAGAATCAGGCATTTCGCGGGAGACGGGGACGTCCCCTGCCTGTCCTGGAGATGCCGTGGAGGCAGGGCGGCTGCATTGCCCAGCTCCAGGGTCCATCGAAGGAGCGTGGATTGTAGTCTGCGTGAATGGCACTCTCTGGAGCACAGTCTTGTCTTGAGGAAGGACAATTTTTCCTGCTTCCATAACATACACACGACTATTGTCAAAGTATAGGCTGGATCTGCTAGTTTCTGAAAAACATATCACAGGCCCTTGAAAATTTTCTTTTAGACATACACCCCCCCCTCCACACACACACACACACCACTCCAGAATATCCACACCTCCCCACAAGCCCAACTAATGACCCAGATCCAGTGGTGTGCCGGTAAACAAACCAGCTCAACAAAACAAACCGAAAAAGCCCTAAGTTGCAGCATTTGCCAGTTTCCATAATGTAAATACCACTCCCACCACCAGTGATTTCACGATACCAGTATGAGAGGACATGATTGAACAGGAAGCTGGAAAGAGAGAGGCACGATGGGCCTGGCTCCAGCACCCTGCTGCCCAGACCCTTGGGTCCTAGGTCTAGCTCACACCCCTACAGGGTCCTCCCTCTCCAGGGTCAGCCCACCTAGCCCTCATGACAAGTTGCATTGACAGCCCTTGATATCTTAGACAAATTATAACTCAGTAGATAAATGCCTCAGATCAATTGTTCATTTTTAAGTCTTCTAGAATCCATCCTTTGATGTTACCTCCAAATAACTACTGGAAAAGGCAGTGGCTCTCTGAGGACAGCCCAGGCGGATGTCACTCACCACATGCCCGTGTATAGCACCTATAGGCTGTGTTCCAGACCTGTGTGTGACATTCGCCTGACTCAGGGAAGCATTCCTTTCTCACAGGAATAAAAAATATTCTGGACAACTGCCCAAAAGTTGCCAATCGTGACCAGCGGGACAAGGATGGTGATGGCGTGGGGGATGCCTGTGACAGTTGTCCTGATGTCAGCAACCCTAACCAGGTTAGTAGGATGTAGGGGAATTCAAACTCTAGGCTGAACTCCCCTATGCAAAGACTCATGCAAGACCAGTGTCTAGAAAAACAGCAGGGCCCACCAGCTCAGTTCTGTGCCGTTGCCATATACCCAGCAGAGCAGAAGTGGTGAAATTGCATAGTTTAGGCCTGGAGGTGACAGGAAGAACATCACAGGAGCTCTGAGACCCTCTGGACCAATCTCACAGGCTGTAGAGCGCCTATGAGATTAGTAATATGAGTTCAACGATGCCCCAAACAAGCTTTTTTCTGCTGAAAGGAAAATTTAACATGGAATTAACTGGGATCCCTGTGTCCCTTTAGTCCCCACACCCCTACACAGCCTATGTATGGACATTTCAGATTAAGTTCAATCAGCAACATGTCTTTTCCCTTCTCACTCCTCCATCCTGTCTGGATAATGGGGGATGATGTGGCATGTATTTTTAAAGCTCTGAGGTAGGGAGTCATTGCTGCCCCGTGACTCACTCTCTGGCTCAGTTCCAGAACACAAAAGCAAAGCAGAATCAGTTTGCCTTACCCAGTGCCTGTGGCTGGCTCCCTTCCGACCCATGCCAGAGTTCCACGTCTCCACCTGCCACCATGCTACCCCGGCGCCCTTTTCAGATATGCTCATCTGGTGTGTAGGCAGCCCATCCATGGAGCTTGATATTTTGGAAGGCTTTTCTGAAAATTCAGCCGTGTGCCTACACCAATCTGGTTGTCCTTTTACAGTTTTGCACCACCCCGATTCCAGAGAAATAATTCCTGAGGTCCGGTGACGATGGGCCAGGTCTGCCTTCTCTGGAACATTCTGTATGTGCAGGCCCAGGAATAAATAACCCATTCTGTTCTCTTTGCAGTCTGATGTGGATAACGATCTGGTTGGAGACTCCTGTGACACCAATCAGGACAGGTATGGTGCATCTCCCAGCTGCGTAAGGCCAGATGAAACATCAGGAGAACTTGATCTTTCAGAGCTTTCAGCTGCTACCATGCTTTGGGAGATGTCTGGGTAGATTGAGCTGCTGGTGGGACAGTAGCCCTGCCTCTGGTCAGGGTCACCACACCTCTCCGAAAGTTCTATATAAAGGGGTGACAGTATCAGGAGGGGCCCTTAGGGACTCTAGTGAGATCGTATTTGAGGAGAGGCAATATAGCAACGTGCTTCAGAGATGGGCCCTGGAGTGACACAGCTAGATACGAATCCCAGCTCCTTCACTTACAGACCAGCGATCCTTAGGCAAATGACCTAATCTCTCTGTGCCTCAATTTCCCGATCTGTAAAATAGGGATGGCAATGGAACATAGCTATGGTGAAGACTGAGTTACTTTATGAAAAGCGTATGTTATAGTTTCTGTTACATAGATAGTGCTCAATAGATTTGAGCTCTTTTACTATTCTTTCAGCTCAGGAAAGCTTCACCATCATCCCAAAATAGAAAGCTGTCATTTGGGAAGGGATCACATTTTATCATTCTTAGAATTTTTCATTCATTTTCCTTTATTTGAGTGGATTTGTTGTATGCAAATGGATTTTTGTCAATCCTCCTAGCCCCGCGTGGGTGGAGTCCTAGGTTAAGACACAGGGCTGGATCAGATGCTATAACAACTTCACCAAAAACAGACAGGTGCAGCTCTGCCCTAGAGGCTCCTGCAGTGCAAGGCTCTACACCCTTTCACCTCTGCAGGGAATCCTGTTAGAGGTGGCGGGACCGGGATGAGGGGGAAAGGATTCCAAAAGGCAAAGCAGGAAGAAACGTTGCTGCTCTTCTCAGCCGCCTCTCAGAGGCTGCCCTGCAGGCAGTGGTTCTTGAGCCCAGTCTTGCTCGAGGACAGCTCCTATCAAGTCCCATGCCATCCTTGTCCTTGTTGTAGAGGACATGCTAGCTAAGTGAACTTAAACATACTTCTCAGTCTCTCAAAGTCTCAGTTTCTTCATCTGCAAAGCAGAGATAATTGTGTCTCACAGGCTATGGTGAAAATAAAAGGTAATGTAGGCAAAGCTCCCGGCACAGTGCTGGTCCTCAGCTGACCTGCAGAAGACGGTGACTGTTAGTGATCACAGCATGAGAAGAGGCAAGTCAGCGACAGAGTCTGACATAGGATCTTTGCTTTTGAGTGGAAAGTGGGTCTGGTACTCTGATAACTTCCCTAAACGATGTCCATCCAGGATGTTCTCTGTTGCAGGTCATCCTGCGCTCTGACTGCTAAGTTATTTCTAAAATATCCTAACCCACCATCCTCTAGGTATTTGCATAGAATGAGTCATGCTGCTACATTTTAATTCCCACAACCTTGAACCTTGGGGAGGAAGACAGGAACTGCTTGTTTTTGCATTAAAATGTTCAGGGCTATGTAGAATGGCTGCTAATGGAAATAGCTCAGTTTTATGATTTACAAAGCAGCCCTGCTACATGCACAGGAGTTCCACTGTTTGAGCTATGCCGTCTTCTGCTTGTCCAGGTTGGCCTAACTTTGGGACCCATCTGGGAAGCGTGGAATAAAGAGCATGGACTAGTCCCTAGTTTCTCTCTCCTGTTCCATCCTAGCCAGTCTAGGGGCAGTTCCCAGCCCCAGATTGGCTCAGGGTGGAGCAGGGTGAAAAGAGTATGTGCTTGGATTCTAAATAGCCATGGGAGGTCTCCATCAACCTAAGGAAAGCTCTAGGGACGTGGCAGTAGACCTGGAAAGAAGAAAAGTCAGATGGGCAGAGAGATTCTGAGAAGTGCTGTAGACGAGGACTGAGCCCAGCCTACATGCCAACCTCTCAGGAAGGGGCTGCCATATTCTCTTGGGCATTCACATCTGATCCTTCTTGGGTCTACTGGCCACAAATTGTGAAGAGTAATAGAAAAGGAAACGTTGTAGGGCTACTAAGACCAGGCTCATAGAAGTGTTTTTTCCTACATTAAAATTGAGTATATAAAATTCTAATCACTTAATCTTCATAACAACAGTATGAGGTAGGCTTCGTTATTATTCCCATTTTACAGATGAGGTCACTGAGCCATAGAGGAGTCCAGTATCCTACTGGGGCTGCATGCTGGTGAGGGGCTGAGCCATCTGGTTCTGTTCCTCACTTTGTTCCCATGGTACATTTTCTCAGGGATCAGCTGGTCGTCTCCAGGGACAGGAACGTCTAGTCACAAAATCACAAACTTCACCCTTCTCTTCTCGAGTAGAAAGTGATGTATTATTTCATCTGGGTGAGGAAGTGAGAAGATGGTCTCTGAGGCCCACAGGGCAGCCTTGTCTAAGGACACACGGGTTTGATAAAAGACCAGGCCTGGTTAAAACCCCGAACCCAAACTCTCCCTCCTGAGAGCTGGACTCTCACTGCCCTCTGCTGACCTGTGATGCAAACCACCTCTCCCTTCTCCCACAGTGATGGAGACGGGCACCAGGACAGTACAGACAACTGCCCCACCGTCATTAACAGTGCCCAGCTGGACACCGATAAGGATGGAATTGGTGACGAGTGTGATGACGACGATGACAATGATGGCATTCCAGACCTGGTGCCCCCTGGACCAGACAACTGCCGGCTGGTCCCCAACCCAGCCCAGGAGGATAGCAACCGTAAGTGGACTCAGCCCAGGGCTGCATGGGACTCCCAGGCTCCCTTCAGCCAGGCACTAGGTGACACACCTTTCCCAGGGCAATACCTTCTCTGCGTAGCCACAGCTTATGTGGACAGTAGATGTCTGGTAGACACCAGTCTCCAACTGTCGGAGAAAAGCTGCTTTGCAGCTTGTGAGCAGCCCTAGGATGAGATAACATGGGGCAGGGAGGCAGCCACGCGCTCCTGCTCAAGGGGCTTGGAGAGCTGCTCTCCATCTTTCACCGGGAGTTACAGAAAAGGAGAGCGAGAAGGCACAGCAGCAGATGGCTTAGGTGAGTTCACAAACTCGGATGCCTGTGGGGCCAGGCCAACTGTGCATCCAGCCAGAAATGAGACAGCAGTGGGGCAAGGGCCGTGGGGGCTGGTGAGGGCACACCCCTCCCCCCAAATCCCCGCCCTCCGCTATGCAGATTCATGTATTTTAGGACTGTCTCGTCAGCAGAACAAAACACACTGCAGGCCAGATTTGGCCAAAGAACCACCAGAAATTATGGTCTTAGAGATAAATCTGGTAACAGTTTCTCTGCTTTTTTACATGTTATAGTCTAGAAAGTGCTATAGACAGTTGATTATGTAAGTTCAGCTTAAGATCCACCAGCTGGTAAAATCCACCATCCTCAGGGGTCACCAGGGTTTCTTGTAAGGTCAGTTTTGAGCAGTTGCCCTCTATGTCCCCAGGAAGTTCTTTTGATCCCATAAGGGGGCCTTTACCAATCCACTGTGAAGACCCCAGGGTGGGCCCGGGGCAGGCTCAGACATGGCTGATGTCAGGGCTCCCCTCCACACACGGGTTGAAAACCGTAGCCCTGCGGCGAAGCTTGGGCTCACTCCTCCCTGCCCAGCCCCCTTGTCGGTCACGGAGCGGTGGTGGGTGTAGGCATTGAGCTCCACTCTGCCTCCACTGCACCAGGTGATGGCGTGGGAGACATCTGTGAGTCAGACTTTGACCAGGACCAGGTCATTGATCGGATTGACGTCTGCCCGGAGAATGCTGAGGTCACGCTGACCGACTTCAGGGCCTACCAGACCGTAGTCCTAGACCCTGAAGGGGACGCCCAGATTGACCCCAATTGGGTGGTCCTGAACCAGGTGAGTGTCACATGGTTGGCAACATCTCAGCCTTGCCTCTCAACAGACACAGGCCCTCTAAGAGTAGTAGATAACATTTAAAGGATGCGGAGTACAAACCAGGCACATCTGTTCCTCGCAGTAGCCATACAGCAAAGTACTTTCATTGGCCTCATTTGACAAATGATGAGATCAAGTCTTTTAAAGCTTTAATGATTACTCATGATTACACTGCTGGTAAGCGGCTGAGATCGCTGGGATCGGGACCCAGGCAGTCTGACCCCACAGCCTCGCTCCTAAGTTCTCCAGTAGACTGCCTCTCCCGTGACGTCAGTGTGTAACTAAAGAAAGGCACAGAGAGGTTTAGTAGATTTTCCAGCATCACTCAAGAAGACACATTCATTAGAAGTGTATGTTCTCCAAGTGAGGCTTTATTGAATCTGCTTAAGTGAGTTTTAGCAAAATTATTTCTTTTCGGCTTTGGGCACATAACAAGGTAGGACACTGCCTCAGATAATGTAATTTTTATGTGGAGATCAGACGTCACCGCCACTCACCTGTGATGCCTGAGGTTCTGGGCTTCCTTCAAGCTCCCTTCGTCCCCTCGAAGACTGCTCTTAACTCCTCCGGCTCTCCTTGCAGGGCATGGAGATTGTGCAGACCATGAACAGCGACCCCGGCCTCGCAGTCGGTATGTCCAGAGCCTCATTTATCACTTGTGTAGAATTCATTCTCTCTAGCTAAGTGTGTGGCTTTGCTTTTCTAATCTTATTCTGATCTCTACAGGATACACGGCTTTTAATGGAGTTGACTTCGAAGGGACCTTCCACGTAAATACCCAAACAGATGATGACTATGCCGGCTTTATCTTTGGTTACCAAGATAGCTCCAGCTTCTACGTGGTCATGTGGAAGCAGACGGAGCAGACATACTGGCAAGCCACCCCGTTCAGAGCTGTTGCAGAACCTGGCATTCAGCTTAAGGTACTGGCATTTTGCATTCACTCATCTCCCTTTCTTCTGAGTCCTTCACCCTCCTTTCAAATTGTTCTCCCTTATGGCATTTAGTTCATCTAGGAAACGAATGCATTCGTGCTAGTGTCCACGTCAGAGAATACTAGAGCCCACCCAGGGCCTTGCCTTCATTCCTGTGTACAAGCTACATTCTAACCTCTGGGTGACTTCAGTGCTGAGAATGTCAGCCCAAGAGGTGGGGAAGATTTGAGGGTATATCTCAGACACACTATGTTGGAAACTGACTGACTTGGTTCCTTGACAGGGCCAACTTTGTAAAGGAGGGCTGAGAGGCTGCCTCTG